ACAATGACACATAACAGTAGCTCTCATTGAAGTCCCAAAATAATTGGAATAAAGTGCCCAATGACACACCAAAGTATCAGTTATTCAGTCTCAAAATAATCTGAATAAAGTGTTCTGAACAAGGACACATCAAGGTAGCAGTCGTTCAGTCCTGAAATAATTTAAATAAAGTGCCCCGCCCAAGGACACATCACGGTAGCACACAAACGTAGATCGATGGTAGAATTTTAAGACGAGCACTTGCATTAAACATAATGGCACATGAAACCCTAAGGACCACAGCTCTATGTGCCAAACGTACATACCAGAATGATTGAGATTGACTGCTGGTCAAACAATAGCTTGCTATCCCAGGAAGTTATTACACCCGCTGGTGTAATAATGATTCATAATAGGCACAGGTATAGTGTACACACCGTTTAAATCGTCCTTCCTAAACACTCAGAGTTTCACCCATCTCCTCTGTCAATCGAACGTCGTTACAAGTAAGTTTGCCGGAGAAACAACACATTACCATCCCCAAGTGAAGTATACCAGGTGGTGACCCACCCGAGAATCCTTATCGTGCCAGGAAATGGTGTAGTTCCGTTGAAATCGTCCACTCGGGATGACATAATTTTCTAATATTTCTCCAACACTCACATCTTTATCAAACTAAATGTAGCATTGACCTAGTATAGACGTAAGAACTTTCCAACATCTCTCCCACCTTTTAGTTCTGATAAAATAAAAGGTAGTGAATATAAGTTGACAATCACTGCCGAGAAAGGAAAGGTTTTCCTGAAGGTTACATATGTCATGTTCTCTCAATGATCACTGTAATTTCAGACAAAAAAATTGGTCACATTATCAGATTGAACCTTTTTGGGAAGGTCAAATTGGGTAAAAACTTTATCAAAGTTTTCACTGCAGTTTTAGTTTTAATGTTCCTCAAATAAATTGTCTCTGAGAATCTTGTGAACGCACACATTATAGTAAACAAGTATTGATTGCGTGACTTGTTCTTAGGTAAAAGACCGACTCAGTATACAATTATTCTAATAAATGGTTTGCCAAATCGCAGGAATTGGTTGTAGATGAGTCTTATGTATCTTCTGATTGGGGTTTCCTACCATTTGACAAGTATGACAAGATCTACAGTATTTGTAAACAACAGTTTTCAATTCACGAGAAAAAAATGATTCATGATCTTATGATAGGTCTTACTGGTCCCTAAATACCCAGTCAAAGGAGTTTATACGCTAGACTATGAATTTAATATCTGTACAACTTAGAAACAATAGTTTGATAGCTCAATGACCACTCGACACCAGCAAGAACCTAAGGTGGTCTACACCTTATCAAAAGAACCCAAATTGTTAACAGGCACTTCTGGGGCTCAAGGTTTCGCTAACAGACCCCTGAAACAAAAATTATCTCAGGATTTTATTCTTGTTCAACAATGAGTAATTGTTGTTTAGTACCCTGATTAGAATAAAGACAATGAGTGATACAAATAGGATCACCGATTAATACCTTTTGATTGATCCATATCAGGAGCTATAGTGACCCCATGAAAAGCCTGACCAATACATGTGTTAGCTAAGGGAACATTTCTTGATTAACACCATTCTCAAGGGATTTCTTTGCTATAGCTCCACTCACTGCACAGGCTAAATATAAATAAGGAATTTCGTTTTTCAACAGGATCGAATTTAGGATCCAAACAAGACTTGGAAGTTACATATGGATCAATCACAACCTTATATCCAGTTAGGTCATTGCTTAGTAATAAATGAATACCCTCGATGGGTAAAGACTTCACTTCACTCTTTCGACTGTTACGCGACATAAGACAAAGTCTGATGACAAATTTACACAAAATAAAGAAGAACATTAACAAAGATACACTCTACACCCGGAATAAAAACACTCTCACTAGAAGTAGACTTCTTAGAGAAAAGCAAAGTACCTGATAATGAAAGACTCTTAGAAGCTCTTATGTCTCATAATTTAAATAGGGGTAGATGTAACAAGATAACCGGGCAGGTGTCGGATTATTGTAACAGAACACTCTTGATGGTGACAAAAATACAATTTTTATCTATGAATGATTCAATGATAAAGACTGTTTGATTAGTGCGCCAACAAAATCCAAATATTGGATATTTAACAAAATATGCACGAACCTGATAACGTATTGCTATTTTAATGAAACGTGAACTGATATGCAAGAAAAAACGTAAATAGTAAAAAGATACATGGTTAATGATTCAAAGTGATTCCACACAAACAAATGAAAAAATATAATACGCAAACATCGACAATGTCCACAAAAATGATATAGTTCACTCAAATAATGAAATATGACAAGTTTACACTCAAATACTTAAATATGGCGAGTTTTTACTCAAATAGTGAAATATGATTATGAAACTTTGGAACACATATCTTGTGAAGTAGAATACAAATCCGAAAGATATCCTCAGCCCCAACGCTCTGTTGAACGGTGGAGGAGCCACCACGAACGATCTGCCCCTCGTGGTCTGCCTAAGGATCCGTATAATCTCTTATTCACTGCAGACCCGTTTGTCAGAAGTTTCGGTTCTTCACCACGTGATGACCTTTATATTCTTCCTAGCCAACGTAACCGACCGACAGCAGCACACTGGGAATAACACAACCCAAATTAACACCACGGCTAAACAACACCTACTATTCAGTGCATATAGGGAGATACTGCGTAACTGTCCCTCCGTCCCTCCTTCGCTCCTTTTGCACTACAGTCAGCATTAACCAGTCACCATTCAACAGCCATCAATCAATAAATCAATCGCCAATCAACCATCAATGATCAGTCCGTCAGCTGAAAATATAATATCCGAATCCGTGTACTACAAATTACACGGTCATGTATAACAGCATGTAATGACCTTATGAACTGTAAACTTGAGTTTATTTTATACAAATTATACTATCGGAACTACTATGAAAGGTGATAATCAGGTTCAGAAGTGATCCTCCATCCATCTGACAAGAATCTTATAGTACTTAACCTAAAACCTTGTCTTCCTTAATAAATACATTATTTGCGAAAATAATCGTTCTACTAAATTACATACAGATAAACTAGAAAACAGACTATAACATTGCATTATAAGACACAAGTCATATGTACCTAAAATATAAGATAAATATAATAGTAAAACAATTTAAATCCTATAATACAAGTAGGAAAATAATATTTAACTCACATACCTCTGCAGCTGGAGATTGCGCGTCATAAAGTGGACTGCTAACTGACAAGTTGTTTTACTTAACGAAGAGGTAATTTATGCAAAGGCCATGTAGCTATATACTGCCTGTGTGCTCTACTTATATGGATTTTCCCATTGTAAACACCCTCGGGTAACGCTGTACACAAAAATGAAATCCGAGTACATGTATTTAATTCAAATAGCAAATAAACGATAAATATAGCCATACACTGCCTGTGCACTCTAGGTATATCGGTTTTTCCACCGTAAGCACCCTCGGGTAACGCTGTACACAATTCCGTGATAGCATGATTGGCAAACTCACTGATAAGTTATATAGAGCCTTTTGACACGAATGGTTCATAAGTCTTCATAACAAAATCAGATTGGGGTTTGGTGGACCCAACAAATGCATTGCTTTCAATACAAGACCGTGACCTTGATCTCTTAGAAATAAGAACTTTTTTAATAGCTCTGTATTGATTATGTTGGTTGTTTTTCAATATGTCGCTATCATAAATTATGTGTTCTTTCTTATTGTAATAGGTGCAAGTATGAAGCAGTAAGGATTTCTACTCACTCTTATCATAAATTTGATTCCAAAAAGTTGTGCAAGATTTAGATTTGGAAGAACTCGTATGAGATTGAAATGGTTTTTACCAAATACTGCTGAGTAGAGGACTTACTGATAAAATAAACTTCGTGAGATAAATAAGTATCGTCAGCAGTTCGAGCAGCATTTCTTACGTTTTGCTCATCAACGTATTTCTCAACGTCACTATAGACACAATTTTGAACTCTTTTTTTCTCTAAGTACTTTCATCAGTTCTTCTTTGGCCCCAGTCAGAAGCTCTCTCGCCTCAAGTTTGTGGTTCACCTAACAAAAATCGAAAGACTCTAGAACCACTTAATCTGTTACTAAAACTATAATATATAAAATAGATATTGATCATAATATTTAACCCAGTCTTATAAAATATTAGCTATGTATTATTTATTTTACCAAAGGCTACTGGTTAGAAAACAATGAGCTTGGTTTTCGACAAAGTGAAGTCCAAGATATAATTATGTACAACACACAATTTAGGTGAGAGAAAAATACTAGCCAACAATGCAAATTGATATACACAACACTACACGAGAAAATAGAATCCTTAAAGACGGAAGAGTTATCTGAACTTGTCAACAATAATGCTGAGGTGAAGCCGTCCTGGATGAAGCAGGAACTTAAAAATCGTTTGACAGATTAAAGTAAAAGTGTTTTTAGTTTGATAAGGAAGATTCCGTCTAGTTTGAACAGGAGATCAAAAGAAATAGGCTTAATATAACTTTTGCTTAAGAAAGAGACCTAAACAAAGTTTGGAAAAGGAGGAAGATAATGAAAGGCAAGAGAGGGACATGATTATTGAAATTCAAAATGGAAAAGAGAAAGCGAAAAGGAGACGAAAGATACTGAAATGCAAGCAAAAACGGAGAAGACGGATATTAAAGAAGAATGGCGTGTGTGTGTTCGTATGTGTATGTGTGTGATTTTGAATTTTTTAAATGTAGTTTTAACGATTTTTCAGTCATATCGCTACAATGTTTGCAGTGTGGCAGTTTATAGTAATGTCTACCACTGGGACATTATGCCGCATACATGTAGCATGATGTTCCACTAAGTCACATTATCCTGACTCCAAGGCGACCAGTCTTAACACTAACCTGTTAATGCTGAGCGCCAAACGAAGCATCTGTTAGAATCATTTTTATAAGGCTTTAGTATGACTTGGCCGGGGATCGAACCCACGATCTCCCGCATCAGAAGCGGACGCTCTGACCACTACGCTATCGGAGCAGTCAAAGACAAAAGGAGATAGAATGCCAAGAGATAGAAAGATTGAAATACCAATGCAAAAGAGAGAGAGAGAGAGAGAGAGAGAGAGAGAGAGAGAGAGAGAGAGAGAGAGAGAGAGAGAGAGAGAGAGAGAGAGAGAGAGAGAGAGAGAGAGAGAGGTGTTTGCATTAAGGGAATTGAAAATGACAAATAAATGGCGATCTCATAACAATACAATTCATACTTTGATAGGGCCAAGCATATCAGACAGGTCCCCAGTCTTATTTACTGTAAGGTTGTATAGTGCATAATATTAGGGCCTAATTAGACCAATACCACGGTTGGGTTAATTAACGTTTTCTTAATTAGTTCTTCGTTCCAACATATATTAATTATTAGATGCTCTTAAATTACTGGATTTTTATGTTTGATACCCATACATGCTTTTTTCATCGAAGTCAGTTCTGAGGTCGCATGTTACCTATAGGCACATCACTAAACTTGTCTTGAAAAAGTTCATTTCGCTTTTAATTCGACCGTTTCCATGGCCTAGTGGTTAGAACTTTCGCCTCAGTTGCGGGAAGTCGCGGATTCGTAGCAAAAAAAAAAATGGTACTAACAGTTGCTTCGCTAGGCACTCAACATTAAGAGGTTAGTGTTAGGACTGGTTGGTCTGATGTCAAGATAATGTGAATGTGTGATACATAATGCCATGTCTGCTGCATGATGTTCCAGTGGTAGACATCACTATAAACAGCTACACGGCAGACATTTTAGCGATAGGACTGAAAACGTATTAAAAGCTACGTTAAAAAAATCCAAAAACCCCAGCACACTCAGACACACACACACACAAAAGCGCTCGCAAACACACATTTTTAATTCAAACTTTCATGTAATGATTGTAGTAACTTGTATTCTAAAACTGAATACCTTTTTGTATGTCACTGCATAAATTATCTGCCTCCACATTAGTACATAACGAAGCTGTATAAATGTATAATTTTGTCACAGTATTTATTTTTTAATTGGTTGCAGTCGAAATCATTCAAAAGCGACTTCATTATAGCAGCATAAAACCACCAAAATTGGTTATATTGATTTAAGTTTTTGTTCTTTAGGGTAACTTAAATCATCTCTTTTATATAATTGTTCTTTTAGGCAATAAAATCTCCTTCATGACGTTCAAAGTATTTTCATTAGAACGCATTGAATACTTATATACTCATTTTGTTTCTTAAATTTTCCATGTTAGCGAAGACAGCTTTATTTATCATGTGGAGAAATCTTTTCGAAACTGCCTAACTGCTTTTTCCTTCAGGATATATTAAGTATTTGTATGAATTTCGCCATGACTCTTTATCCAACAAAAGTGACCAATGTATATCTTTTACGTTTAATCCTGAAAGAAACAAACGGTTTTACATTACGACAGTGGATTGCATATCTCTTTTATTTTTAACGTGCACAGTAATTTACACAATGAACTTTTTTGTAATATCTTCAGCAGCAGCATCGTTAGCCTCAAATAAACATGGTACTCGCGATGTCTTTAACAAATCTATTTAGTATCAAGATGATTTGTCTTCTTATTTCAGGTTCACTTTTCAAAAGCATATCATAATCTGTCATCAATATTAATTGTACGTTACATATTTTCAATCTAGCATCATGAACTAGTTCAAATGTACTGAAATACTGTGCCTGGTATAGTTTACAAGTATTTCATTTTTTAAAAAAATAAACGCCATTAAAATCTCTTTCTTTATGCAGTAGTTACAAGTGAATTAAAGCCATTGATTTACAGGCAATTTTCATTTTATTATCCCTATTCTTTTGTAGTTTGAATGTGAAGTTTCGTTTTTCAGTTTCAATGCGATCGTGTATTTTTATGAACAGAGATATTTTCTCAATCATTTTGTTTGTATGTGTTTGGTGCTGTCACCTTAGATTCCGCTGATGTTTATAATTTTTTTCCGTGAAATTGTCACAGCTTCAGTTTTTCACAAGTAGTAGGTTGTCTTGTTGTTGACATTATTGCTAAGCTAATGAAAACTAAAATCTGCAAAATTTCCGACATCTTTCCCTAAGTAAAAACAAAAGTAGGGTAATGAATTACGATGAAGCTATCGAAAATGCCAATTGCTTGCATCACTGTCAAATACATTTTATTGCTGTATACAAATAATTTGTATCTCGTGTTTTTATTGTCTTTTTACCTTTTACTGTCTTAAACTTGAAAGTTAATTGTGCCGTTATTATTTCTTTAACTGACGCCAGGTTAATGTTGTGGGAGAATGTCTTCTTATTCTTCTTCATTATAAAATGTCAAAATGGAATTCATCTCCAATTGTGTTGTCTTATAAATAATACAATGTACGTGTCCAATCAATATTTTATCAATATTCTATCATCTGTCTGTATCTATATGGAACTAAAGAGTGTGTATAAGAGACTTGATTCGAAGATCTTTTTAAGAACATATATGTACTTTTCTTATTCTATAAGACTTTAGCAACTCCTCGAGTTCTTTAGAGGGGTTGATCCATTTACTTAACCGTTTAATTCTTATCATTTACAATTCATTGACCGTTGTCTAAATTGCACAATACATAAATCTGCATGGCAAATATACTTTTTATATTCTCATCAAACAAAACCCATATTTACAAAGTAGCTGTCTACTGTAAGTTGCCCAAGTTATTATCTCGCTATTATCCATTGTCTTTAACAAAATGTATCGTGCTCGTTATATATTGGACCTATTTAAACAGTAGCAAATAAATGATCGATACTTAATATACCCCAAACGTTCAGGTGGGCACAGTTATCAAACGGTATGTGAATCACGTGATCAGAGCAGTCATCTGTAGCACTGAAAATAGATCAACAATGCATAAGGTACGTGTACGTGGAAAGATCTTTATTGTGAACAATGTGGGAGAATTTATGAAGGAGTATTGAAATGAAAAGAAACAAGATTGCAAGCAGTTTAGCGAGCGGCCCATAATCTAACCTGAAAGGAGGCTGAAAACTTCATTTGGAATTGTGTCTCGCACGGTTGGTATCCACCACCAGTGATGTAATAAAAAAGGGCGGAGAACTACTTCTTGCTCTAGTCCCTAAACAGATACAGATATATATATATATATATATATATATATATATATATATATATATATATATATATATATATATATATATATATATATATATATATATATATATATATATATATCTGTATCTGTTTAGATCATATATATATATGATTTGCTTTCTTACAAAAATCTTAAGTGAATTAGAAAGTGTCATTTTCAGACCGGAACAGATAAAATTATGTCTTGTGAATTTCTTTTCTCGCTACTAATCATTTTTACCGGTGTGCATGTAATTTTAGGCATAATGTAGTGTTCCATAAAAGGAAAAGGGAGGCACCTCATGATAGTTTAAGTGTTTCCAATGAGTTGTCTTCCTCTACAATTTAATTTCAGCTTATGTTATGATATATCTGTTTCAAAATTAAATATTCAACAAAATGTCTTCCCGTACCCCAGTTTGCAGATTGATTCGATGCACATGCATTGGTAAATATAAATTATATATTGCTTAGTAATTAAATGATGTCCTCTTATCATATCAGCACGATGCTAGAAGTGAATTTCGCATATCACTTTGAAAAAATTAATATTCATCACTTTATGAACATGCCTCGTAGCATTTAACAAAAAAGTATTATATTAACATAAATCTTTATAAATAAATATATAAATTTTTAAAAAAGATTAACAACTAAAAAAATAAAACTGAAACACTTTGATCATCCAATGTTAGTGACACCTTAAAGCAAAAAAAAAAAAAGAAAACAAAACTATTCTCTGTCATCTGTGTTATGAGAATCACCAGGACACCACGCTGCATTGAAAACAAAAGATCATATATTCCATTCGACTTGAGTTAAGCTCACTCGCACTTTGAAATATTTTGTATTTGAGAGGAAATCTAATCTGTTCATTGATTTTTCACATTATGGGGATTCCTTAATTCGATTACACTCAGTTAATGACAAGACACAAAACATCACCTAAGTGTTCACAAGACTTTTCCAGGATAGAGGACGCTTTAATCCTTTTTGGAAACCTAATGCTTTCTATATAGAGTAAGCATGCAAAGATACTAGTTTCAAGTCCCTGTGTAATCACTTTTACCCTCGGATTCAGCTTATGTTGTATGGGGTTTAATTCGGTTATAACACCCCAGAAGGCTAACTAGCAACTAATAATTCACAAAGGCGGGTTTCCCTTACCGTTCGTGCTTAGTGTCGCGACAGGCAATAAGCTGAAACTACAGTAATTATTTTAAACGGATGGAATCAGTTGTCCAGTTTGATGAGTGTCGGGTTAATCTTATAGGATTATAGAACGCAAGATGCTTACCTGCCAGAAATTACATCAGAAGAAAGGTCAGGACAACTTGGAGATTATGCAGCTTCACCTCACTTTGTATGTGTATCTGTTAACCGCTTAGTCATTTTCACTACCGGGACTCAGAGGTAAAGTAGAAGAAAATACTGACATCTTGATTTAATAATTTACGTTATATAATTCTTATTTTGCTCTCTCAGAAATTTGAATATTGTAGTATATAGGAAAATACACGCTGCCCTATCTTTATAACTACTAAACCGAGTGTACTTTGGACTAGATCAGGCTCATTTTGGAACACATTAGAGCAGTCTTACAATTAGCTGTCTGGTTTTGACGGCGAGTTGTTTCTCTAGTACTATATATACAGGAATATCAATTACAGTTCCCAAGAGAATGACAATTATCTGCGATCTCCCAGATGTCCGCGATTACAAAAGCGTTTGACGTTACGAAAAACAAGATGATGGAGTGGATAAATCTGATATTTCGCGACCTAGACATTTTGTTAACGAACACTACGGAACATTGCAAGAAGAAAACATTTTCAATCGTCATTTTTTTGGACTTTTCAACCACGGTGTTCTGCAATGACTTTTTTTTA